CCTATGCGCATTTTAAACTTTTTGCAGTCGTGTTACTTTTAGACGAATCAGTAGTAACCACTTTTCATTTTAGTCAGCACATCACGCAGGCTCGAGTGCAGCGCGTTGGTGGGCATCCTGCCCACTCTGCCGTCGGGACGTACATCACTTACTGCCCCTCTATCACAATAAGGACCTCGAATGTGTTACTACACCACCTGTCCCGCCTGTCCCTCCGATCGAGTGTTTAAGGAGTAGGCTTGTGAGTTCCATATGCCACTTGTGGACTTATGCATTTTCTTACCTGTTAGCCTGGTCTTGATCAGAATTTTCCAAGTAAGATCTTGAATTTTTGTTATGTCAGACCTTTTATGTTATCTTTTCTCTGAGCTTGAATTTCAAACTGTAAGTCTGCTAGCGGTCCGGTTCATCCACCGGCGCCGACTAATGAAACACCCGTTAGCATATGACGGCTGAGCAATAAATACAGTTACTTCGGGCGAATAGGCTACTGTGGCTAGTTAGAATAGCGTCATCAGTTTGCAGTGAACCTAAGTGCTCGTACATGATACGGCTGTGATCATGCCCGATCTAGCTAGCCTCTTTGATGTCACGTGTTACACCCTTCCACGCGTAACGCTTTGTGGCAGTGGATCTCGAACATGCACTTCTCCAACGACGGACACCGAATATTGAAGGTCCAAGAACTGCTTCATGTCTTGAGAAACTGTGTAGAGCCAGGTCTTGATTTGCATTCTTCTTCGACGCCTCAAAGCGGTCAGCGACGCCGAGTTGAGAACCATACGTCAGAGCTCCTGAGGAGGACGACGGAGCACATGCCTTAACCACCTCAGTAGGCTTTCTTGGATGGCCTGGGATATCTTCGATATAATGTCGCAGCGAGTACGAACTGTCTCATTTGAGACGAAACCGGTCTACTTCACTCGAAGGGTGGTCTGACACACCAACTGCCCCATGAAATACCACAAAGCTCTGTGGCGGCACCTTGAACCCTCGCTGCGTAAGCTCCTTTACCATCACTGCTTTATGGGAGGGTACCAACGAACCGGAATAATTCAGGTGGTTGCCTGGCAACCGTATGAACTGAATATTCTCGGATCATTGCATTAAAAGTGAAGCTGGTTGCCTCATGCATGACCACAGTCGCATCGACCACAAATGAAAGGTACAACTGAATTAGTCTGAGCGATGTTTTTCATATTGGTGACTTCCCAGTGACCGAAACCATGCTCATTAAAAGCACAACAGAGGACTTCTAAGACCGTCTTCTATGTTCGCAGTTTTATTGAATGACTGTCTCTAGAAAAACAAAAGCCTTTTCCGTTGAATATGCTTTCTATGAACTATGAGTCAACTTCAAACCTCCGGTTACCTTGGTGCTAGAACCGATGTCTGTCACATCGATTGTTTACGTTCTTCATGCCATCTTATTACCTATTTTGTGATAATTACATTTGAAGGATAATATTTCGATGTCTTATCCTGCTCATATTCAAAGATGCCGCAGAAACGGTCATTTAGACCATAAATCTTAGACATTTGTACGATGTTTGTTCGAGATTCGTGGGGATTCGATTACGGCAAGATGACACCTCTAATTTGTCCTGTTAATGCGACCCTACTTTGTAAACTCCGCCATGGCGAATGAAGCCTTGTTGGCCAGTATTTAACATTTACCTTATTATGCTGCAGCTGCAATGCGTAACCAATTTTTTTCTATTGATTCCCAGTCACGCCTGAGAGTGTAGTGTCGTAATACGGTCTGTCTGCACTCATTCCTCGTCCCTGGGGAGTCGCCTTCTTTCGTAACACGCTTTCATTGAATGCATTTCCACTACCCACTACTTGTACACGCTCGGGTTAATCCACTCTTAATCTGACACGCAGCCTTCGTCTTCTTATATTCTGGCTTTGCCGCCAACGTCTGTTAGGAGACGTGCATTTCTTCGCGAGAAATTCCGCACTTATGCCCCAATGTATTCGCTAGTGTAGGCTTGCGGCAATCTGCCCTTTTATCGATTGCCCAGTCAAGACCAAATCAAGCCTGTGTGGAGGCCTAAAGCCGGCATCGGTTTGTTCCGTGCTGTTGCCCTTGGCTCAAAGTCTGCGTTTCATTCCCTATTTAAGGAATCCTCTGTAACTTAGTGTCCCGAATTAGTACGTAGTGAAAGCATAATGTCGATTTTGACGTAGGATGACGCGGTGGCCTGTCTATAAAAATGTGTAACGATTTGCCCATTGTGCCGATTATTGGGCCATGTTTATGTAGGCGGCGAATTGGCCTTACTAGCAAGTTCTACTTACTGTTTCGAGTCAAACTTGGGAGCTTGGGTGCCTACAGTTCAAACAATTAGTCCATCTCATCAATTCTTTTTAACGGATTCCCTTTTCCGTTCTATCTTGCGTGAAGAGTAAAAAGGTTTGGCCTGTATTATTTCAGTCTGCTGTAACTGAAGAAAAAAAATTGGCGATTAGCATGTTCTATCCAACGAGCTTCCTTCCAGTTTACTGGCTGCATGTTAAAGTAGTCCAGCTAAAACGCAGGCCCCAGTGGGTTTCCATGCGTCGTTGCAAGAGTTTACAGGTCACCTGACTAGGCCTTATCGTCATGTTTCAGCGCTTACTAGATTGCACTAAGCAAATATATTATCGTTTTACAAAGCCTGCCTATGGTTCAAACTGAACTACTTCAGACCACTCAGCTTAATCTGCATTTGCCTCAAACGGGAACCAACTCCGTTTCTCAGACCATTATTTTATTTTACTGTCGAACGTTGTGACTTTAAGTACGGGTAATGCTGTTAGTACCCTCTATCCTGACTCCGGAGAGGCTTCTGTTAAAACTTGTTGCACGGAGTCTACAGTAAATGACTATCGCTAATAAGTATTCGTCGGAGGGAATTGCTGGTAGCAATATCCGCTGCGAACGATGCGTTCACGGGCTGCTCCTTTTCACACTACACTAATAACCTGATGGACGAGGTCAAGTCTACCCTGGCGGTTTTTCTAGACGATGATGGCGCATTATCTTAAGGACAGGTAGCCTACGATTCTCGAAAGCTAATATTTAGGAATTTATACTAAACTATTAGTCCGTCCGGACCTAGAATAGTCTTCGCGAACACGCTTTGTCAATGACGATAAGTCGGCTAAACTAGCACTCTGGGTTTTGGTTGAGATTTGTACACAAATGCAACTCTTTGCCCACCGTCATGGCTGTACCTTCAGGCGTCCTTTTTGAATATCGCCTTCATCCAAACCACTAAACTAATATGCGCATCACTCGCTACTGTACTTATCCTAGTAACAATTATTAATCGAGAGTTTATATTTATATTGAATGTTATGTTCGTTTGCTCCTGTAAATTCACATTTTTTTCCTTTCAAACGTTATAATTTCTTCTTGTATTTGTCAAGGGCATGGGCTTGACACTAAGCGTACGCAGGTAACTTGTCTTATAAATATCGCGTGAGCCTAAGACATCTGGAGATGATGAAAATCGGTTTTCTACTCCTCACTGCCTACTTATTCCCCGAGAGTGCACCCCTTGTCTAATTACAAGGAACACTTCCGTTTTTTGTCTAATAGGAATCTCTGCCATCCACTCCTCAAAGCGTCTGGAACGACCTTGTTGGTAATGATGAAGAGGGCCCTTTCCAGCGTCGCAGTATGCTGATGCGTCTGACTGGCAAGGAAAACGAAGTGGCTGTTCTCTTACGGTAGGCTTTGCTTTCATCCACATTTTGGATTTTTTGCAACCCCTTGATGCGTGCCTGCTTAAAGTTTACTTGTTATCACAGCTTTTTACCAGATTTTTTTCATTTTACAAATTAGTTTTGAATCTCCTTTGGCTGATATTTCAATTGAACAAGTTCGTATGCTACTAAACCTAAGAACAAGCCGGTCCTAGTTTTTTTCTAGATGATGTTCTGCAATATCCCATCGCCTAATTCTGGGTTCAATTGTCTGCTCGTCCTGACACAGGAGTATTTTCCACTAAGTGTATCATTTTCAACTAGCGGGTGAATGTTTGCTCGCATTCCTTCTGTAGCCCAGTATGCAGTCTTCCATACACAAAAATGCCATATCTTTTTTGAATAGGATCTCGATCATTGTTCGTAGACCGATCCCGGGTTTTTCTACTTGAGAGAGTGAAATGAGACAATTTTGGTCGTGAACCAAGTTTTGATTACATGATTGTTTAAGATACTACCAGGTACTGAGAATGGCTACAAAAGACTGTCTCACAATTATTAGAGCACTCACTTTGTGTTGCCTTGGTTGGAATTTATATGATCAGTGGCTTCCATTCCATATTATGACAAGAATTTAGTTTATGCTGCTAATCAAATTTTGGTGGTTAAGAAACAAGATTTCGACTACCGACGATCGCAAGATCCAGTCGGCTAAGCCAGCTTGTATATCAGCCTGCACAATTAATTGTTGGGCTTATTATATACTTCCAGGCGGCTGCCCGCTTTTTGAGTTTTTCTACTTTTTCGTAGTTCATGAGTAGTCAGGCCTATCAGTGAGGGTCATTTTTCACTTTAGTTTTGCAGTGTCCCTATAATGCTTCGCTTTCATGTCTCTTCCGTCTTTTTTTAGCTCTCAATTTGAAACTGAACTTGCCACCTTACTGCTGTATCCCAGTCAATATCCCAATGTTGCTCGAAGGTGTCTGTTTCGTAAGTCTACTGGTTCCTGTGTTTATCCTAAATAATATGTGTATCAGTGTGTGTGCCTGTATACTCGTAAACGTGAGGCGATGCCTTTGAGGGCCACAGTCAACTAACTGATAGCTTAGGGTCACGGAGAAGATAGGACCTCTAGTGTGTTCCTAAGCGCTTTTTGGGAAAAAAACAATCGTAATTGGACATGTCACCGCCACACCTACGTGTATTCTAATAGTTATTGGACGTTGTACCGATTATTAATATTAATGAGAAAGTGTTTACAGTCTTCGTCCACATTCCAATTGACGTCTCCAAAATACCTCGCTAATGAAAAAATTGTCTGCCGTCTAAAACACTGGTGCAACCCTATCCTGCCTTTTTCAGTGCTTCTGCCAATATTTCCACCCAAATGTTAGTCTACAATTACGGTCGGTTGGTTCTTTGCACACACTTCCAAACTTTTTTAGTGTCTTCGGTCGTGCAGACTTTATGTTTGTATGTCAAATGTAGTCTGCTATCCAAAATACAGACGTTGCCCTATCGGGCTCCAATTCCCTCGGTACAGTCCTTGCAGAAGCCGTCTCTTCTTAAAAATCTATGTATTTCATCTCTCCTTGTCTGGCCGCTTTTAAGTAAAATCATCCCGGCTAGGGGGGTTGCTTTTGCAGCTTCTGTCTTTTTAGGTTCGAAACTAACGAAACAAACATCGGGTTTTCGTCTCGTTTCGAGTCTGTCTGGTGTGGCCTGTTTTGGGGATCTATAGTACCGCCAAGATGTCCATTACAATTATCTCCTACTCTTTCTTTGCTTTGTAATCTTTGTAGAACAGTTTATGAACTATCTACGGCACGTCTACCAATCACCGTCAGATCTGCTAGAAGTCGTAAACAGTCTCACAAGCTGTTTCCTCCCCTCTCGACCGCCCGCGGAGTCTCAGGAGGCGAGTAAACCCCGCAACAGGTTCGTTTCCTTGTTCCTTTTCGTTTTGGCCTAGGCTTCTTCTGACCTTCGCCACTCCTTGCTCAACTATGCACACTCTTTCCACCCTCCTCTAGGTTCTCCTCCATCTTCGCGATTTGCAACGATCCTTCGGACATCCTCTTCACCCTTCTCCCTCACACGTGGCCCAATTTGGGTACGATATCCTCAGTTCTTTGAGTAGTCCTTGCTTCACAAATGTCTCCCCAAATCTCTTTTTAAGATTTCGTGCAGCAACACTGCTTAGTTTTTGTGATCACCCAACTTTTCGGAAGCCTTTTTTAAACAGCCGATATATTTCCTTGACGTGTTCTGCAATCTCTCCAAGAACTGAGGTGTATTTCGAGCAGAAAAATGCGCCTGGGCACGTCTGTCGACCGTACAAGTGATCGATATGTCCCCTTTGTGTCTGGCAAAGTCTACCGGCCTTTTCGGTGTGAGCGACTATTTTGCTGCAATTTAATTGATTGGCTCAATATAAGCAGAAGAAGAAACAGGTTGAAATTCATTGTGAGGCACCTGTAACCGATTTTTAGCTTCGAAAACGTTTGTCTTAAAAATTTGTAAGATCTTGAGTGATTCGTTACCTTGACAGACCATCACGCTGATAAATGTGTGAATTCACACAAAATAGTGTGGGATAGTTTTGCATTTTCTCTTAATATTGTACTCATTCCGAGTCTTCTTAATGAGGACTAGTTTGCACGTGGTCTTGTGTTGAAAAGGCCCGTATTTGGCGGCGCTTGCTTTCTTAACCTTCTCGGTGGAAAACCGATAGTCTGCAATTGTCAAACAACTGGCAATTTTCGACGCCAGTCCACTGACTTTTGACCTGGCACGTATCGTAAATTTAGCCAGAAACTACGGACAGCCGGGTCTACTTGTGTTTTTTTTTCTTAACAGCAAGAAAAGTTATGCGCAATCCCGTACTACCCTATCCAAAGCGTCCTTGCCTCCCCTAAGTCTTTTTGGACGTGATCACACATCATGTTTCTGCCCTTCACACGAGACACTGAGCATGTCATTCTCATGTAACGACAGGCTTGCAAGAAGGGTTCCTCGTTTACTTTCGGATCCCTCGATTGCGTACTTGTACAGTTATTCGCTTGTTTGGGGGGTAAATGGGAGAAGAGGTGCACCTACTGACTAAACTTGATGGATTCGCCTTTAGCGATCTACTGGAGCTACTGTGTTTTTGCTTTCAGCTTCATATGTCCAAAGCCTTATTTTCTCATTGACGACATTTACATTGAGGACACTTAGATGTTTCCTCGCCCACGGACGGCTAAGTTGACTTATGCTTAAAAGTTCCTTCAAGTTTGTTTTTGGAAAACTGGAAAAGATGCTGACCTCTATTAAGTGTTGTAGCCTTGATAGACTGCCCTCAGGAGTCCTATCATGCGCCGCAGCACTTTTTTTACCAATCAGTATTGTGAGACAGCCGGGACGATTAATTTTCGTCTTTTGGGCGTTTTTTTCATTCTGTTACAATCATTTCCCTCCAGCAGATGTACCTATCATCCCAACTGCTCTTCCGATGACTTTTTTCTCAACTTATGCATATAACGTGTTTCGTAGTACCCGAAGTAGGCTTATCCGAGTTGTCAGGCTACGTTCTGTCAGTATTTCCTCCTGCGGGTCATACTAACGGCCTATATTATCTGCCAACGCTATTCTCTTTGCCCGCCATCTCCTGCGATTATAACAGGCGGCGCACGTTCCACTCATTGAACGGCGTTGACTGATATCAACCATTTATATTTATAGCTTATGTGGACTCAGCGAAGGCATTCCTAGTTATGGTCCATTCTTTGTTTATGTAAGCCAGCTAAGTATCACTGGGGTGTAGCAGGGGAAAGCTTTTAGGAACTTCTTGACGTCTGTGCAGGCCTGTTTTTGCTGTCGAAATTTCTAAATTTCGAGCCTCGTATGGGGGGATGACTTCGGACAGTAATTTGCCCTCTCACAAGCGTGAAACTTGCTCCTTTGTCATCGTCATTCATAGATGTTATATGTCTGATTGTTTTAATTCTGCATACTCATCTTGGTTTGCTGGGCCTATAGGTCTTATTTTACTCTATACCGGTTACGTCATTTTGCTTTAAAAAGGACGCCCATCACGCGGCTGTATAACCGGAACCAGTTTGAACTAACTAGCCTGACATTATTCATTAGTTTCCCTGCCAAAATGTATTCGCCCTTTTGTTTCTTTCTTTCTTCCTCTTACACTCTCTTCTGTCCTCCCACTTGCCCTTAGAAATATTCATGGCTGTGGCCTGTACATGCATCTGCTTGGCCTACACTCGAGCCCTGGTCGCACTCGTTTTGAATCAGTACAATACTCAAAATGCAGGTGCCGCCCTCACACAGCGTGATGCTGTTAATTTTGCCAAAAACCGGATTCAGTCGGTGAGTGCAACTCTTGCCTCTGACATGTTATATCTCCCTTGCTGGTTTTCCCTCCTGACTGCCCCCATCTTTTTCTCTCATGTTTCTGCAGTTGCCCACGCCTTTCCGGAATAGCATTCTCTCAGCCGTCTCGTGTCTGGATCACATGCTGGACAGACTCTCCCTGTCCGGCTCCTCGAACCAGCCGGACGCCTGGACTGCTGCTGGGGGCAGCAGCGCCACCGCGGCTCTTCCAACTTCAAGCACCGGGGGGACTACCGGCGCTACTGCAGCTAGCAGTAGCAGCAGTGGCATCTCCCTGCTAGAGAGCGTCATCCGTCTGAAC